TTTAAGCGATCTATGGAATCATATGCTTGTTTGAAGTCTATGAAGATCTGGTGTACTTCTTTATTATATTCCCAACGTTGGGGAATTATATTCCTTCCTTTCGAGCTTTCCGTTGATAGATAATTTGATTATTAGATATTTAAGCTCCATCACTTGTTCTATTATCTGACCTTCCAGCTCCAATTTACATCTTAGTAAATTTGCTGTTGTAACCATGCATTTTGTCTTTTTTGGGGAAATTAACATGTTAAATTTTCTGGTAGTTATATTAAATTGATGCAGCATACGTTGTAAATAATCTTCACTTTGAGAGAGTAGTATTGCGTCGTCTGCATAGCAGATTACTTTAAGTTCTTTTTCTCCCATTTGGTATCCTTTTTTTTAGTTCTTACTTTTGTTTATTTTATCCATAACCAGGTTGCACAATAGAGGACTCAATAAATCTCTCTGTCTTACCCCATTGCCAGCTTCAATAGGGTCGGTTAGTTCTTTTTCTACTTTTGCTTTTATTGTGTTGTTTTGGTAGACATTTTCGATCGTTTTGATAATTCCTAGAGGTATCTCCCTTGCGTACAGTAAGTGGATAACGTCTTTTAATTTGACCGGATCAAATGCCTTTGTAAGGTCCACGAAACATTAATATGCCGGTTTGTTGTATTCTAATGATTTCTCTTGCACTTGCCTCGTTATAAATATAGCGTCGGTGCGTGATGTTCCCGACATAAAACCTTGTTGTTCTTCTGCTAGTGTTATAATTTCATTCAATTTATTTGTTATCACTTTGGTTGTTAATTTTAGTGTTGTATTTATTAAATTATTTCCTGTGTAATTTTAAGGGTCCAATTTGTCTCCCTTTTTGAAGAGAGGTATTAGGATGCTTGATCTCCATTCTTGAGGAACTCTGTTTTGTTCTCTTATTTTTTGGATTAGTTTTAATAGCTGTTTGGTCAGATCTGGTCCTCCGTACTTTAGGAGTTTGTTAGGTATTCTGTCCTCTCCCGGTAATTTTCTATTTTTTAATTTCCTTTACAAAGAGGTCGGATATTAATATTGTTGCAGGAGTATTACTTGATGATTTAAACCAGATCATAGTCCCATTGTATTAATTTTAGAAAATTTCAACACTTCAGTTCGTACACAAATAAACAAAGAAACGCCGTGTTCCTTTGCTTATTACTATTTAAAAAATTTACTGATCACATGCAGTTAAAGCTAAATTTAAAAGGCGAAAATTAGATCTCTTTTGTAATTCCATTAACCATCATTACACAACTGAGGAGGTTATCAATACACTACAACATAAGAGCTTGGGTGGACTGTGGCCACAGGCGACTGGTTTATTTCCTGACGCAGGTGCCTACAGGACACGAGTATTTTAGGGCCTACCTCTATAGGATCGGAAAGGCTGATACAGATGAATGCCAATACTGTGGATACTCGGACACTGTGACACATACGATGTTAGATTGCAGCTGATTGATAGTGGAAAAGAACAGAATGGAGAGAGAGACAGGTGTGAATTTTGTTACAGTGAGAGAAATGATTAAGAGAATGATTGAAAATAAATTAGACCCCCTCTGTGGCTCAGTGGTAAGAGCGCCTGCCTTTAAACCTAAAGGTCGTGAGTTCGAATCCCACCTGGGTGGAAATTTTCGTTTATTAAAAAAAATTAATAAATGAAAATAATTTCTATTTTTGTTTGATCGGTACACACCGGAGGGACCGCAGACGTTCGGATACAATAAGCGTCTCTTAGCAAAGACAATGACGTCGACTTTGCTAAGTATCAAGACAATTACTCTACACACACACACACACACACACTACACCTCAAATTGTAAGATTGGCAAATGGATTTAGTGTCCGCAGTCATTTAAACACAAACAAACAACAACAAAATAAATTAGGTTGGATTAAAATACACAGCTATATCCGTGCAGTAATCAAGAAAAAGGAAGAAGAAGAAAGACAGCTGGACCAACGGCAAAGGTAGGAGTGAATGATGCTGTGAAAGGTGAAGTTAGAACAGTGGTTGAGTTAGAATGCGTGAGTCTGACTGTGGGGAAGGAGAAATGCCCTTCTGGGAATGATGCCGAACTAGGAGCGATAAGGGTCTTCTACGCGCTACCTGAAACGAGACAGAGAGCCTCCTTGCTGATGAATAGAGTGTGGATGTGTATGAATGGAGAATGAATGAATAAAGGTAGTGCTTCGGAAGTGATGCCGGCCTTACAGTGGCCATTCCGTTTCGTGATCGCTGGATGACAGAGAAGGGTCTGGTTTAGCAGGTAGGCCTTCGGCATAGACTCGGCGACGAGAGGGCATTTTAAAGTACCTCGGAACTATCGCCGGGAGTACGAAGAACGAATCCTGCACTCAGATTAGTCTGGCGGCGTCCTGGACTGAGATGTCTTTTGAAGATTCCAGACCCCACCTCTATAAAGACGAAAAGAAAAAAAATACACTACAACGAAATATTGACATATCAACTAAGGAAGTCTCTGTTCAATCCTGACCCCCCAGGGGAGTGTAGTGGTCGACGTATTGTCGTGTATTGTCCGTCTCCAGAGATCTCTGTCTCTGGTCATTTCTTTTAATTCATGCATAGGTCTTTGGCATATTCCTGTAATTTGATCTATCCATCTTGTTGGGGATCTTCCTCGTGATCTTCGGCCTTCTACCTTTCCTTGTATTATGAGTCTTTCCATGTTTTCTGTGTTTGCTCTCATAACATGCCCAAAATATTTTAATTGTTGGAGATGGACTTTACTAGAGAGTCGTTGGCTAACTTTTAGCTCTCTTAAAATTGAATTATTTGTTCTACGGTCGGTCCAAGGAATTCGTAATATTCGTCTCCAACAGAACATTTTAGTGGCGTCTCTCTATTTTCTCTCCGATTGTCTCAGAGTCCAAGATTCACATCTGTAGGTCAGTATTGGGAATATTAAGCAGTTGATCAACCTCTTCTTTATCGCTCTTGAAATTTGACATTCCTTCCATATTTTGGTCATTTTTGCTGTGGCAACTTTGGCTGGATCACATCTACGTTTAATCTCTTATTGTAATGACCCTGTGTTTGTGATTAATGATCCCAGATATAAGTATGAGCTCACAACCTCGAACCGGTCAATTGTGGTTATGTGTGGATGATTGTTGTGTAGTCTATCAACTAACGAAGTACAAATTAAAAAAAAAATCAAAAAATAAAAAGCCTTGAATCAATTTAGAATCATTAAAAACTATTGGGGAAAAATAATTTGTATAAAAAATCTAAGAAACACCACAGTGACATGAATATCAGTAATGAATATATATTATCCAAAAATTATCTCAGAAGGTTATTAATAAAAGCAAAAAAGAAATATTTTAACGACTTAATTGATAAAAATACTTCAATGGATCTTTTTACATGTGTCAAATATTCGTGTGGTGGAACAGTAGTTAAAACAGAAATTGAGCAGATAAAGACATATGATAATTTAATAATAGATCATGGAAAAATTGCAGATCTATTTATTAACTATTTCAATGACTTGGGAAAAAATATATGCTGAGAAAATTGATACACCTCTTAATTATGTTGAAGAGATTGAGTATGTAAAAAATAGCATACATGTGTTTTCAACGAATGAAGATAAAGTTTAAGATTAGATATATTTCCCAATGTATTAAAAAAAGGTATCACTAAACCGCTGTTTAAAGGTGGAGATCGTAGTGAACTTGGAAACTATAGACCAATAAGCTTGGTATATATTCTACAGTCTGGTATATATCTATAGTCTATAGGATATTTTTCTATTGAATTCTTGCAGAGATATTGCTAAGTAATTACTGTTTTAAATTTTTTTCTGGGAAATGTCAACGTTTTACAATATTATTTTGCAAAAAACCCTGTGAAAGTAATTAAAAGCAAACGCCATACCTTATTAATTTTTCGAAATAGCTTAATTTTTTTCAAAATTTTCGTAAAAATATCATCGATATCTGTATTATCAGAAAAGAAAGCTAGGTTTTAACACATAACGTGATTTTATTGAATTGTAATACTCATTTTAATGGAAGCAGTTAGTTGGCTATGACAAATCAAACAATTTGATAGGACAAATTTAGACTGTCAAAGGCTTCGTGCTATAACGGAACGTTTAGTCACAATGAATATATTACAAATACAAGTGGCATATGTTCATAATATTCAAATTAGTAGAAACACTATACAAAGGCATCTAGATGAAAAAGATCTGCATGTAAGGATACCAGTCAGAGCACCAGCTTTAAACGTAAATTATCGTAAAAGTAGATTACAATTTGTTAGAGAGCACATTGACTCGAATGTTGATGACCGGGAGCACGTGGTGTTCACTGATGAATCTAGACGTTTGAAAGTTATTCAACGGCCAAGAGAATGCTACATTGTACCATGGCTACGCATAGTGCAACATACGACCCATTACTATATGCAATGGAGGATATGCAATGGTTTGGGGAGGAATATCTCTTACAGCGAGAGAACGGTGCTTGTTTCTTTACGAAGAGGTTCCTCAACAAATAAAAGGTCTATTACAGACATTTTGTCTAACCACGTAGTTTCATACTACACGAATTTTACAGCACCCTTAATCTAAATCTAATCCAATCACGTAATAAACAATCAGTCAGTAATCAAATTTTTTAAAAACAATTAATAAACAACCATTATACATTATTTTATGCGATAAAATTGAGTTTGACGATTATTTTTTCTAATCTACTACTAGCACAATAACCCCACTCTCCAGGGTTGGGAACACTGCTGGAATCAGTTGGATGGAAAGAGCACTGAATAGAGAGAGCACAAAAAAGCCTAATTCCAAAAAATGTAAGGAATAAACTTCAGAAATCAATGATTGCCCTCCTTGGCTGCTTTTCTATCTATTTATTTTTGGCAAATTTTTTAAATATTTTTTACAAAATTATTTTTTTATAAATCAGAGAGAAAAATCTTGAATTATTTTTTGTTTCAGGACATGAACTGCATGACGTATTTTTTATTACTAATTTTATTCTCAACTGTAAAGTCCAAAAAAGTTTCAATATATGTTAATCCATATTCGACCGACATTACAAGATGCGACTTCATAAATGGCGATGACACAAATGTCAACTGTTACGGAAAATCTCTGATGGAGATCCCGAACAATCTGTCAAGATATCTCTCTAAATTAAGCATCACTCATAGCGGGATTAAACATATAACTAAGAGTTCCTTTGACGACTACAGGGAAGAAATGAAAGACGTGTAAGTATATTGGATTTTTATTGATGTTTATTATTTTGGTAACCGAGCCCACATGTTTATAGATATCATTTTGGCGATATAAAAATATTTTGTACGGCTATATTATCTAGATATTTATGTGTTTGGCGGGATACTTTTATGGCTGTTTTATTATGTTTGCCATCTTTCGTGTATTGACTTGAAAATATTAAGAATGTCGAACAACTGGTAATAAACAGAATGATGTAAAAAGTATGTATGTATATAAAAGGATATATATATATATATATATATATATATATATATATATATAAACTAAAATATATCCACTGAAATATATATATATATATATTATATATATATATATATATATATATATATATATACAAACAACAAAGTTTATGGGGCTGCAGTCAGAAGTTTGGCCGGGATGTTACAGAAACACTCTTTTGACTTTTGGTCTAGCTTTCGGAATTGTTTAATTCCTTTATCAAGACACTGTAATTAGAAAAATGTGTAAATATTTACAATATATCACAAAATATCAGTGTACTTACTAGTCGTTGAGATTATTTGTACGAAGCTATGACACTCAACATTAATAACAAACATATACACTAAAACTTATACAATAATTAATACAACAATACATTTTAAAATTTAGTTAAAAATAATAAAAGTTCTAAAAAGTTTGTTTTCTACATCTTCTTGGTGTTGTGTTTTAACTAATCTAATTAATCACAGTGTCTTGATAAAGGAATTAAACAATTCCGAAAGCTAGACCAAAAGTCAAAAGAGTGTTTCTGTAACATCCCGGCCAAACTTCTGACTGCAGCCCCAATAAACTTTGTTGTTTGTTTAAATTGACAGTCACGAATATCCAGTATTCATTATATATATATATATATATATATATATATATATATTATATATATATATATATATATATATTAGTGGATTCTCTTGGGCTTAGGTTCATAAAAAAAATTTAGTTTGATACTAAGACATTTTTATATATTTTATCCGACGTTTCGGTAGGAAATCCATGCCTTTTTCAAGAATATATATTGACTAAAAAAAAAACATTCTGTGACAGACATAATACGGTTTAAAAAATAAACTTTTGACTTACCAAGCATGTAAATATTAGGTATTAACAAGTAGACGTCACAATTAAAATAATATTAATAGGACATACCCACTAAGTCACTACAAGTCAAATGTATTTTAAATCTAATGTGTTATTTATTGATGTTAGTTTATCGTTTAAACAATCAGTTATTTTAACATCATAGGCGTTCTGAGATTGACTTTTTATGTGTTTTTAAATTAAGTTAAAATATATTTTGTTCAAATTTTTGACATCTTTTTTATCATTTATTGCGTTATTATTATTTTTTTATTTATATAGACTCTAGAAGCTCTCTTTTTTTCCTGTTGGATTCACTTTTTAGAATCTTGGTTTTCTCAAAATCAAATTTATGTTTTTTTTCGTTTTCATGTTTTGTGAGGGCGGTTGAGTTTTTTTTTGTCATATTTGTGGGAACGTATTCTTGAATTAAGTAGCTGACTGGTTTGTCCAATATAAACTCCATCACAAGTCGAGCAGGGAATTTCATATACAACATGCGATCTTTTTAATAGAGGGGTTTTTGTTTTCAATCTTGTAAAATTCCTTTTCAAAAGATTGTGACCTTTATGAGCAACCGTAATATTATATTTAAACAGAAGATTTGCAATTTGTTCTGATAATCCTTTTATATAGGGGAGAGACATATAGTTTTTCTTTACCGTGTTGGTTTCATTGTTATTATTTTTATTGTAAAATTTATGCAGTCGCGTATATAATCAAAAGATTGTGACCTTTATGAGCAACCGTAATATTATATTTAAACAGAAGATTTGCAATTTGTTCTGATAATCCTTTTATATAGGGGAGAGACATATAGTTTTTCTTTACCGTGTTGGTTTCATTGTTATTATTTTTATTGTAAAATTTATGCAGTCGCGTATATAATATTTCTTCATATATAAAAATACAAAATATCTTACAAAGTTGAACTAGAAATAAAAAAATTTTTGTTAACTCACCAAATAAAATTAGTTTGTTATATAAAACTGCTGCTTACATAATAATTACAAAAAATATTAATAAAAAAATGTCCTATTCTAATAAATGTTTCTCTGAAAAATTTTGATAGTTTCTTAACAAAAACAATTGAATTTGTAAACAAAAATTGAATAGCTACAAACCAGCCTAAATGTCATAAATACTAACTTAAAAATTTCTATTTTTGACATATTGTCAAAAATAAAATTTTGTTTAAAAAATTCTTCTTTGTTTAGTAACAAAAAAGAAGAAGATTTATTCACCATTGATAGATGCCCGAAAAAATGTAACAAATACATGGAACATTCAAAGTGTGATATTTTACTGACTGCATATATAAATTACATAGAAATAATATAATTATAAATTTTGCTTAGATTTTGAATTTCTGACCTTTTGTTTAAATTATTATCACTTTTGCTAATACAAACCATTTCCAAAAAAATTCTTTTAAATTTATTACTTTCACTACATAAAATTTTAATATTATCAAAATCCATAATATGGTCTTTGTCTATTACATGCTCTGCCAAAGCACAAGATGGTTTCTTAAGGCCGTTCCTTGCGTTTCTGGGCATACCTAAGTTCCAATGTAAAAGTTTATATCAAATAACGCAAAAACTATGGCAGATATTGAGATGATTCTTTTTTTATATGAAAGGTCTTAAAAAGTTCTAGTGCACTATTTGGTTGTAAATTAATAAATTGTTTAAACAATATTTTTTTTTTCAAATATTTTTGGTTAAAATAAACGTAAATTTTTTTTTTTTTGAAATAGGGCACTACAGAATTTGACCCACTTTCCGAATCTGTTTTTATTTTTAACATAAAGTGTAACACAAAGCAGCTATTTGGTATAAACTTTTTTTAAAATCTCAAATTTTGCTAAATGTTACTTTCTCTCTCGGCCAGTACAGGCTGTCCTTGTCGATAGTTTCTGGATTCTCGCCGACACGGTTAGGTTGGTTAGGTAAGAAAAGAAGTATAATACCCTCTCGAAGGTGGGTCATAAATAATGTTGAATAACATTATTAGGGTTTATTTCGACTTTTGACCACCTTTTGACAAACCAGTGTGTTAATTGTTTTGAAATATTTTTTGTTGATTTGTTTCTAAATATTTATACTGTTTTTATAATAATACTATTGTTTCAGTATTTGCTTATATAATAATAATTTATTATGTAGAAACAGCATAGAATTTTGGTCAATCAGCCAGTACATTTTTTTGTATTTCAATCAGAATTATTATTTTCTTTTCTTCTTTACATAAAAGCTTGGAGTAATACTCAAATATTTTGCAGTATTTGAATACGGAATTTGATTATTTATATTTATTGGACAATACCCAAATATTTTGCTGTATTTGAATATGGAATTTGATTATTTATATTTATAGGAATATTTATTTTCAACGTTTTTGTTAGTAAAGTTTACATAATATATGAAGTTTGTTTCTTCACTTGCTTGTCCAGCCATATTAGTCTAGGCTAATAAGGATTTTCTCGTGACACTCAATAATCCAGGTAGCTGACAACTTTTTTAGTTATTGTAGACCTATAAGAAGAAAACCTACCTGTTTCCTGCGTAAAGTTCGGAGCCGTTTTTTAATGATTAACAATAATTGTTTATCATTAAAAAACGCGATTAATTAATTACCGATTAAAACGAATTACGAATTACGCGATAAAAACGCGATTAATGCAAAAAACGCGATTCTTTCGAATTTTGCACTCTATTATTTATTTATTTATTTTTACGCACAACAGGCCGTTAAGGCCTAGAGAATTTTTTTTACAACATAATTCTAATATTAACTAATTACAATTATTTTAAACAAAACTTTAACTTAAATATGTATATATATAACATTCTTAACTACTCTGAAGGACTGGTGTATAATATTTTTCCATTCGCTTCTATTTTGTGCTTTTTTTTCCATTCCCTCACCTTCACGTGTTTAAGGTCTTCCTCCGCTTTACTAATCCACCTCGTTCTGGGTCTACCTGTTCTTTTGGGGCCGATTAATTTTCTGGTTATTACTAATTTAGGAATTCTGTTTGCTGCCATTCTTTCCACATGTCCCAACCATCTGATTCTTTGTGCCTTGACGAACTTGGTAATAGTAGGTTCTTTGTATAAAGCCATTAATTCATTGTTGGTTCTTCTCTCCCAACCATCTTCTGCCTTCCGTCCTCTGAATATGCATCTCAATATTTTCCTTTCCCATCTTTCCAGAGTATCCTCTTCCTTCTTATTTAATGTCCAGGCTCACCGGCATATGTTACTGTGGGTCGAATTACTGTTTTATATATTCTGAGTTTACCTTGTCTAGAAACGTATTTTGAGTTCAGTAGGCCTCTTAAACCACCTAATTTTTTATTCCCTTTTGCTATTCTGGCTACGAGCTCCCATTTCTCTTTTCCATTTTCATCGAAAACTACACCTAGGTATTCAAATTTGTCCACCCTTTTAAAACTATAGCTTTTACCACTTACTGACCTCACACTAAAGTCTTCTTTTTTCCCTTCTGTTCCTTCCATGATCATATATTTAGTTTTGTCTTCATTTAGTTCCAATCCAAATTTCTGTGCTTCTTCGATGATTTTCTTTACAACTCTTCTTAATTCTTACTCGGTTTTTGCTAGGATCGTTAGATCATTAGCAAATGCCAAGCACTGGTGCTCATTTTTCATGATCGTTTCTTCCATCCTCATGCTGCATTTTCTGATTACAGTTTCTAATACTAAGTTGAATAATGTAGTGGATAAAGGATCTCCCTGTCTCAAGCCTTTTGCAACCGTAAATTGATCTGATATGTGACCCTGCCAAGCAGGGTGCTAACAGGTCAAGATGCTAACAGAGTAATGCCTCTATAGTTCTTACAATCCAGTTAATCGTCCTTTTTATGC